TTCTTTAATTCATAATATTCAAAACATCTGTTTCCCATTTGGGAAACCTTTAACCCATTCTCCCCACCCATTGCCGGGGTCAAAATTTTTGTTGATATAATTCGAATCTACACTGATCAAAGAATGTCTCTACAAAATTTCAAGTGAAAATCTCAAGAACTGTTGAAGATATATCCGATTTATTGTGTCAGCATCAAGTGACGGCTGAAGGGCTTCTCAAAATTTAAACGCGTTTTTTTCTAAACATTTTTTGCGAATGGCGGGCACGATAACTCAAAAACTAATAACCCAAATTTTGCAACGTTTCTCTGGGAGTGTATAGCTCTCGTATGAACTAGGATAAAGCCAATCGGTGAAGATCTTCCTTATTTTTTTAACTAGGTTTTTGGTAAAAAAATCGGCGATTTTTCAAAAATATTTTTTGAAAGGTCCACCATTTTTACAAAAAACAACAACAAAACAATAACAAAATTTTTTTGTAAATTATTTTTCTTCTCTTCTAAATCGTCAATTATATATGTGCAAAGTTACAAACCTTAACAAACATTGGTATTGATTTACCAGCCCATTGAAAATCTTGAAAAATTGAGAATGGGGGGGTTCCCTTAAAATCGAGAATTGGTGGGGGAGGGGTTCCCTTAAAAGAACCTTAACATTTTACTGTTGTATATTTTCCTATTCTCAGACATTTTCCTTTCCATGAAATTGTAAAATATTTCTGAATACTTTGGACTCATCGCCTGTTTATCGTATACTAAAAGAACTTGCCAATTTCCTCCACTAAATATTAAGTAAATTGTCCAATATGTATGGACAACGCATCGGAGTTCCAAGTTCGCTTTTCCACACCGAACTTTTACTTTATAAAACTAGAAGTTGACATATTTTGAATTAGGTGTATAAATAATTTATTTTTTTTTTTAATTCCAAGATTTGAAACGACTTAGAAACTATTATAGTTTGGAATATGTGTTTATTTAATAGATATTTATCGGGATACATATGACTGTTTACTTACATCTAATGACTAGATTTGACTCATTATGTTTTTTATGTACACCATTTAATTATGTTTGTTTCTATAACAGTTATATGCGATATTTCTATAAAAATCGACAAATTATCCAGTAGAATGAAAATAATTGAAATATAAAGCCTAAAAGTATGCTTCAAGCATGCAATCATTTTGTATAACAGATGATATACAATTAAAGAAAAGACCGATTTTCATTTAAATATTAAAATGTTATTTTTTGATGGCAATATGACATTTTCACACCGAAATAGTTAAGCTTATGCAAAAGAACAAAACATTTGGTTGCCTAAAAGTATGCACCGCCCATCGGTGGTTTTGACATTACAATATACCATTATCAATTAAGCAGAAGCTACGCTGAAATATCTAAGTCTACACTTTTAGGGCGCAATAATCACAGTGATTACTGCATATCGACATGACACATGTCGGATAAATGTAGTGCTTCCCCGTTAACTTAAACGTACAACAGTAACTTGAAGACTGAGAATTAATTCTATGCTATCATACGAATCTTATTGGAACAAACTTTTCACAACCTAATACTTCAAAACAATCCTGTATAATTTTTAAAAATAGGACTTATTGGTCCACTCCTTCTAGTTTTTCTCCCAAATCATATGCATCGAATGGAAAACCAATGTCATCCAAAAATAGTTTATCGTAATATTTTATTAAACATGCAGTAGGTCAAATTATGGAACCCTTCGATCTACTCCTTCCCCCGTAAAATGTGTCAACATGTTTAAAATATGCAAATCCAATATCAAGCAGAATGCGAGACCAATACGATCCACTCATATCGTATTATTATTAGCAAACCTAGATCAAGTGCGAAGAAAGGACACATCGATCCACTCCTTCTCCCATTATCTCCGCAAAGGGTCATCATTTTACTTGAAACGAGTGGGATATCCGATTTAATCCAGTGGATGCTCATCAAAATATTTTTACCAAAACTATATTAAATCGAAAAGTGGGGTCTAAAGACCCCACTTTTCGTTTGATACCATGGTAAAAAAGATATACACATATACAGAGCCTGGTAGACAAACCTGTAGGCCTATCCTGTAACTTTTAACAACGTTCGATATTGTTTAATTTTCCTTTGTTATTGTAAAAACAACAAAACAAAGAAATTATATTGTTGTAAAATGAACAATGTCGAATATTGTTAAACAGTTACAGAATAGACCTACTGGCACTTCCCCACAATCCGTCATAATTTTTAAAAAATTTAAATTTAAAAAAATGATATTGTAAATCTCCACGTACAAAAATCAGAATAAATGCACAATGTAATGTTAATGGCACAAGGTATATCTTTCGTTGACCGACACCTCAACTTAGCCTAAATTCTAACACAGAAGTTCAATGTCCATAAATCCTGACATATTCTATATTTTTCAAATTTCTCGGGAAGTACCTCATGGTCTCGGATCCAACTGAGGTTATTTAATTTTGTAAATTCCAGTTGATCACAACTGATGACGATTGAAGACTTTGGGGTTTTGGACGTGGATGTTTCAATCAACCCAATGGAAGTATGATCGAGAAGAAATTCTGGATTAGACCAAAAGTGATTACAAGGCCGTCAGGCCGTCATAAGTTGTTGACAAAGAATTGTAGGGTCTATATGAGTTCCAATCCACCTGAAAAGCCCACATTTTTGGAAGGACAAATATGAGCAATTCCTTCCTCAATTTCTAGGCTGATAGTTTTCCCAATTCTCGTCAAGATCCTCGTGGATTATAATCCAACTGAGAAGTATAATTTTCAAATAATCTAAATTTACAAATTCCAGTTGGTCGTAACTGGTGAAGAATGAAGGCTTTAGGGTTATAACTTGGATAGTTTAATCACACGAATGCAAATACGCTCGAGAAGGAAGACTGAACTTGGCCAAAAGTGTTTACAATGGCGTCAGGTTTCATAAGTTCCTGCCAAAGAATTGTACATAGACCGTACAATTCTTTATTTCAATTGTTTCAATCGACCAGAAAAACTCACATTTCCTTCCTCAGACCATACTTCTAGTGACTTTTTATGGTGGTCATATTTAAACTGTAAATTTTGAATACCCTGAAATGCTCGTCGGGGACACCACAATAATATATAAATAATTTCTATCGATAGTTTACGATCGTAAACTATTTGCTACCAGAAGGTTTGGTTTTGAAACATGGTAGTTCACAACTATTCTGTGACTATTCTGTGGCCTCCATATTTATCTTGATTAGCCGGATCGATTTTGTTTTGTGTCAAAAGTTTTGTATCAAAGTACAGATCGCTGTTATGGTCTAATGTTCCGTACTGGCCAAAGTCGATAACTAAACTTTTTGAAAATGATCGGTTATTCATTGGATGAAATTGACCCATAACTTTATTTTTTTGTCTCTGTAGTGGTCACATTTATAACCTGAACTTCACGAAGAGTGAGATTTGGGCAACGAATAAACATGGCTCTTCGGACATATAAATTATATAATTTGTACTTCTTCAAGGAATAACCCTCAGGCGACCGAATACAACTCCCAGAAGTCAAAGGAAAATAAGACAATATAAAGTCTTTAAACGCTTTGAAAACGTGTCAGAAGGCAGACCATTAAAAGGTGTGGATTTTTTAAAGAATATGTTTCAATGAACATTACAAGGCGTGGACTTTAAAGATTATTTTTCAAGGACCATTACAAGGACCAACAAAAGGAAAGTCATTCATAGACAGTATTTTGAAGACTTTTCGCAAAGCAGTGGACAATACACAGAATAAATTTCAAAATGACTTCTATATACCAAATACAATTTCCAAATACTTTGTAGAAGTCAAAAGAAAAACATGCGATTTAAACCTTTTTGATAACATTAATATAAGTATATATTTTCTCTCTCTCTCAATAATTTCCAATATATGTGATGTGTGTTTGAATATGTATGTACGTTATGTGTAATTTATTTTGTAACAATTATTTATGAATGTATGTATTTCAACCTTTACTAAATGTATGTCATAAATATTCACTATTGCGTATTGTGACATACATAGGTATGTAAAATTTCTAAATAATGTTATTGTCCAACTAAGTAAGTATGTGTATGTTTTAGCTTATGTTTATGTATGTATATATGTATAGTATGTTTATAAATTGTTGTTTTTTTTTTATAAATATTATCTATAAGGATTGTGAACAGGGTTTTTTGTAATGAAACATAAAAATAAAATAGATGTATATATATATGATTTCCTATATGAGTGTATATGTGAACATATTTATTTTTATATATATAGATTTGTTTTTCTTTAGTAATAATAATTTATTCAGGAGAAAGTTTGTGGTTTATGGGTTATTATATATATTTTCATTTCTTTATTTATTTAGTTTTTAATTTTTGTTTAAACATTTAACAATTATTTTTTCTTTAATTATTTGTTTTTGTTTTTCTTCTTGGAACTTTAGTTTGTTTACTGTGGTTGTTGTTCTTGTTGTTTTTATTTGTTTAAACAATATTTAAGCTTAATTTATAAAGATCGTTATAGCAGTTGTATATTCCTTTTTTCCTTCCTTCCTAACTTCCTTCGATTTCTTATTTAGTATTTGTTTTTTTTAATAATGATTTATATTTATTTTTTGAATATGAGTATATATTTATGTATGTATGTTCTTTTGGTATGTATATAAATATCAGTGTTTTATTTTTTTGAGAATAGAGGAATTATTTTTTGTGGATCAAATTCACATAAAACACAATGCTGGGAATTGAATCGAATTTCAATTAGATTCAATACACAGAGTTGTGTTTTAAATTTATAAGACCCTTTTAATTTTATTTCTTAATTTTTCTTCCTAATAAATAACTTTTATTTGATAAGCAACAAAATACTGTGTATGTAGGTATTGTTTTATGTTTGTTTGTCATTGTGTTCCATTAAACTTGTCTACGTTTTCATGTTCAAATTCAACATTTCTAAATCTAATTTGAATCCGAATCTGAGTCACTTGGTGGCGGTACTGGTGATGCTGCTGGTTTTTCTGCCGGCTCCTCACGTATTGGCCTGGTGGCGGCCAAATAGGCATTTGTCGATTCACCATGGGTTGTTTCAATGCCAACTCTGTATTGAAAAAATATTTATTTGAAAAGTTTGTTTTAAAAATTGTTGAATTTAAACTTACTTGTATTCATGTCTGGCCAAATATCTCACATACTTCTCGGGTGGTTCATCCGATTCCGATTCTTGTACGCTTACCGAACGTATTGTTGTATGTGAGACTTGAGTTGCTGGCATTGTAAACTCCACAAAGGCATATGGAGCCAATTCACTGGGTATTTGATCATATGAGGTAAGGGCCATGCGGCACACCAATTGATGGGTGGTATAGGCACCTGAAAATAATAAAAACAAAAATAACAACAATAGTGGATTTTAAGAATAATATTTTTTCAAGGACCATTTCAAAGTGCGGAATTTTTAAGGAATATTATTCCAACGATCGTTAGCAGGCGTGGATTTTTTAAATAATATTTTTTCAAGGGAATATAATTGAATATTTTTTCAAAGACCACCAGAAGGAAAGAATATTTTTTCAAAGACCAACAGAAGATAATAACAGAAGGAAACAGAAGGACAGAAGAAAAGATTTTTTTCAATGACCAACAGAAGGAAAGAAAAATATTTTTTCGAGGGAATATAAGGGAATATTTTTTCAAGGACCAACAAAAGAGAAGAATATTTTTTCAAGGACCAACGGAAGAAGAGAATATTTTTTCAAGGACCAACAGAAGAAATGAACATTTCTTCAAGGACCAATATAAGGAAAGTATTTTTTTCAAAGACCAAAAGAAGGAAAGAACATTTTCCAAGGACCAACAGAAAAAAGAATTTTTCTTCAAGGACAGAAGGAAACAGAAGGACAGAAGGAAAGATTTTTTTCAATGACCAACAGAAGGAAAGAAAAATATTTTTTCGAGGGAATATAAGGGAATATTTTTTCAAGTACCAACAAAAGCGAAGAATATTTTTTTAAGGACCAACGGAAGAAGATAATAATTCTTCAAGGACCAACCGAAGAAATGAACATTTCATCAAGGACCAATATAAGGAAAGCATTTTTTTTTTTCAAAGACCAAAAGAAGGTAAGAATATTTTCCAAGGTCCAACAGAATGAAAGAATATTTTTGAGGACCATACAAATGTATTACATAGGCTGTAATACATATTCTATAAGCAAGAGGCATTTTCTATAACAAAAGGCATAAAAAGGCATTAATGAAGGTCTATAGCCCTGTGACCTCAAAGAAGGCCTTCTATAGCCAAAATTCCTTACAGAAGAACTTCTGTAGACGGAAGAACTTTCAGAAGGTATTTTATTGGCAGACGGCCTTTTAGACTGTCTGCTGTCTGAATTCTATAGACTGACTACTTTTTCAAACGGTTGTCTGTAGTCAGATGACCTTCAAGAAGTTATTATTTGGACAGGAAACTTTATAGAATAACTTCTGTAGACAGAAGGCTTTCAAAACATCCAACGGGAAATCTTTTAGACAAAAGGCCTTACGGAAAATTTCCTCAGGCAAAAAACCTTACAAAATCCTTCTACAGGAAGTATTTCAAAAGGCATTTTATAGACAGAAGACCTTTCGGAAGCTCTTTTTATTGGCAGAAATATTCCAGAGGACATTTTTTATAAGAACTAGAATTAAGACTTTAATAATTTGGAGGTCTTCTGAAATATTGTCAAACAAATTCTGACCACAAAAAGCATTCAATAGACAGGAAACCTTTAAGAAGATCTTCTAATGACAGAAGAAATTTTAATATGTCATTAATAATTTTCTGACATTATCATATACATGTTCCACGGATTTGCATTTATAAACATTATTGAAATTTAATAAAATTGTTTTCAACTCACCTTGTCCCTCCTTTGGCAAACGTGGGCAACGCCATACAATGGCTCTATGATGATGTTCATATTTTGCCTGGCCCGATGTCACCTCGATTAATGATTCCTGCAGTGTATCGACAGCACCCAATATTCGCTCAATACCTTTAATTTTACCCGTACGTCTGTGGGCAGATTTCACTGAACCATATCTACAATGGAGTAAATTTTATAAATGTACAAAACTATACAAAATAACTATAGAATATTTATAAAAAATACGAATTAATTAAAATGCAGGCAAATGTATTTTTTAATAATTTAAATATTTTGGGTTTCAATTTAAAATAAATTTTAGTGTTTTTTTTTAATATTAAGAAATTTTTGTTAAAAATAAACTACATTTAATAACTAATTTTAATACAATTTTATATATTATATACTTTCATTTACAAAATAAGTTAATTTATTTTCATATATTTGTTAGTATGAATTCATTTTCCATTTCGAACAAAAAAAAAAAAACATTTTATTTACATGTTAATGTCAATATTACTTGTTTTACAGATTGATAGGATAGAGATAGTGGAATAGAGAGTAGATTTCTTGTAATTTTATTAGTTCTTTGTTAAGTCTACCGTATTTAAGTGTTTCTATGTTTATGTTAGACAAAATTCAAAATTAGTATTTTATTTCATTAAGTTGTTATAAAAACCGTATGTAGTCAACTTAGGTTAAAAACACGTTTAATTCAACTTTTCTCGACCCTCGCTTGTTTTATTGAAAGGTTTATTTGCTGACATTAAATATGTACACACATTAAATATCTTCACGCATGGAAAATTATTAATTATTTGCTATGTGGAATCCCTAGAGATAATATAATATTCACTTTGTAGTTGACTCGCTGAAAGTTAGCTAAATATAAAACCCAGGGCAATAGAGTCGAAGTCAGACAGGTGAGATGTTTTTATAACCTATACAACTATACCCAAAAGTTTCTAACGCCGCGAAATTTTGATCCTAGATCCACCTTTTTCTATGTAGAATCGTCATATCTCGACTATCAGAGTTGATCTAAATATGTATGTTTGTCCACCAGACCGTCTATCTGTCAATCATAATTTGTAAACACAATACAGGCCACAGTTATGGACCAATCGTCCACTCATGCATGTTCTCTGGGTTCTGGCCTATTGTTTTTTGTCATGACCGGTTAATTAGACGTGGTAAAATGAAAGCCATCTTCAAACATGACCTATCTACAAACAGCAACCTGTATAAAATTATAGCATTCTATATCGATCCCACCGAAAATGTGGGTAATTACAAAAAAAATATGCCGGCGGGCATAGTTTAAATGCATTGGAAATTTCTTTTGATTAAGAATACGAAGGCTGCTATGTATATTTCTGACCTAATAATGAAAAAGGAAATATTCATCACCATGGTACAATTATAAAAGGTAACAGCAAATCCCAGCTGATTTGATTCCAACGTAATACTAGTGTCAATATGAATTTGACAAATTATGTTTTTAAAAATCACCCAACAGGAAAATTGGGAACGCATACAATTTGAAATTGTTCTTTATTAATGTGCTCCCGTATTCAATTTACTCAATCTGCCTGCTGGGAAAGTTTGAGGAAGCAAATCTTTCTTGAAGGAATTACTCGCTATTCCCAGCATTGTCATATGTGTTACACATATATATGGCAATGGCTCAATTAAAGGAAAGATGTGGAAGCGATAGAAATATAAATTTGATAGATTTTCATTCATGTTTTTCAATTTTTATTTTGAGGATTCGAAAATATTCAATTTTCAAAATAAAAATAATTTGATGATAATTTGTTTGTTAGTTTACATTCTTCTGTCAAATGAGTTGACACTAGTATAACTTACAACAACAAATTTCCATGTGGTTGTTGTATCGTTTTTTGTACAAGAACACTTGCTGTTACCTTCTATTATTATACCATGATTCATCACCTAAAATTCAAGAATGTTATCCAGTTCGACGTATTACATTTTTCATGCGCTCAAACCAATTGTCGGAACTATTTATATTTTTTGAACACAACGAAAATAAAGCTTTTTTGATATTCGGGAATAAAGATAAGTCTTGTGATGCCACCTCAGGGATGTACGGTGGATGAATTACACGGATTGCAAAGCAGCTCTTTCGAGTAAGATCAACAAATTTGTAAGCTGCAAAATGATTCGACTTCTGTTGTTCAATTTACAGATTTATGGTATTGAAAATGTAATATATCGGTCAAATTTTTGATAAAGCCTCCCCCCGGTACCCCACAACATTCGATATGTACACATTTTTCAATCGAATTGATTTTAATTTTGTATTTTGGTTTCTCGGTGGATATCAAATATTAGGTTAAGTTGAAAATAGGGGTGGTTTATGCCACCACATATCCAATAATATGATATGCACTTAAGCCACTGAAAGGCCTGTTGTACGCTTTAGAATTTGTAGAATTTAGATTTAAAGAGCGTTTCTAGATTGGACTTCTTATAGGTCTAGTATTTTCCACTCATACGTCTTAGGTGGGTTAGTTGGCGGATAGTGTCATTTTTGTCTAATTTACCTTGTAGACCTTATACAACCCTTTATGGCCCAAATTTTTTCCGTGGCTATGGAAATATTTTCTGTGCAAGGGTTTAATGAATCTATCCTAAATAGGATATGAACAAAATTTGACGTGGCTACATCCTTGCATTCGGGAGATATACTACCTTCTTTCTGAAAAATAAAAGTCCAATATCAAGAAAAGCAAATGCAATATCGACGAAACATCTTCTTTAATTATACATTAGGTTATTTTTTACAAGAATAAAAAATAATTTGGAGGGTACAACTCGTACATTTCGAATACGAAGCTATTTAAATAATTTGGTATGTATACACATGTTGTTACTGTACATATTTTTGCACTCAAATACATATTGAAAAGCACATAAATTCACCAAAAAATTGATTTTTATACCCTACACAACTATGCTGTCAGGGTATTATAGCTTTGTGCAGCCCCAAGAGTTTGTAACGCCGTGGGATCCTAGACCCACCTTTAGGTATACCGATCGTCATATCTCGACTAGCTGAGTCGATCTAGACATGTGTGTCCGTCCGTCTGTCCATTATTATTTGTAAGCACGACACAGGTCACAGTTATGGACCAATCTTCACGAAATTTTGCATGTAGGGTAGGTTCTGGCCTATTGTTTTTGGTAAAAATCGGTTAATATTTAGGGGATGAAATGGACCAAAAACTTTATTTTTGTCTGATTTTCCGTTGGCTCCAGAGGCCGCAATTATGGCTCAAACATCGTGAATTTTTACATAGAGAAGGAGATCGGGCCAAAGGATAAGCACGCCTGTTTTGATAAAGATCGGTCAATATTTAGCGGGTCAAATAGACCCTGACTTTTGTGTGAAAAATGATACCAATTATATTGTCGCATGTACTCGGATGTGGGAGTTACACGTAAATATTTATAGGTGTTTACGTGTTCACATATTATTTAGTAATTCATTACCACCCCCAAAAGGCGAAAATATAGCGCTGATCGCTTTGAAAATTTCCATGAGTATCCATGAGTATGGTCAAGGACAACGCCTATAATTTTCGGTGATGATCAGATAATAATATTGGGATGAAGTGGCCACAATTAAAAGCCGAACATCACAATAAAACCCACGGTGAAGGGAATCTGGAATATTTTTTGACCTCTAGTCGGTGAAGAGGAAAGTTAGATTTTCGTGGTATCAAATGGTCGGCCCCATCATTATTATTATTTTTTTATATATGTGTCCTCCATAATCAGATCATAACATGTGTAATGCAAAAAATATATTTATTCGCTGAGTTTCAAATTTAAGCTTTAAAACATTTTGTTTGCCAGTGGGCAAAATTGGGCCATACCTCTAGGTACCCCTAAATTTCGGTATTTTGGGCATATTGTTAAAGTTATCCACCATTAATAGACACCACAATTGTAGACATATAGGCCGAATATTTTCGATTATTATAGATCAATAGATCTGGGAATTATTCGATATATATTTCCAAATATTTCAAAAAATCTGAATTTAGTCCTGGCATTTCAATAACAGATTTATTGAACTTCGGCAAAATGAAGCATATATCAATTACCCGGACTTCGCATTATTGAGAACCCGAATAATTGAAACTAACTCGATGAATTCGGCCTCTTTCAATTAAGCGGATTTGACGAAAATGGATATTGTCAACATTTTCGCCGATTTCAATGGAATTAGGTTCGAGCATAATATAATATCTTATTTTCTGAAATTTTATTGAATTATTTCCTTAAGTAGCTTTCCAAAATTTGAAGCTACTTCGCGACACGTTGGGTATAGACAAAAAGTTTTTATACTCACACAGTTATGTTGTAACATCACCAATGATTGGTCCCAGATGCAAATTGTAATAAAAGCTCAGGCCATAATTAAGAATTGTGATTATGATATGAGAATTATGACACTACAAAATCTTACACCAGGAAAGACAATTAAGCGTGACTATTCTGAGGGTGATCAGTCGATATTTAGCAATACTCTAAAACTTTTGTGTGTAATTTATAACAATGCTATGGACTCGAGTGATCGTATATATTAATATTTTTACAGGTGGCTATCCACAAATAGCCACGGTATCTCCCCCTATTTGCCTGTAATTCAAAATCATCACAGTTTACAAACTTTGGGCTCATTATAATATTCTATGAGCCCACAGCAGTGAGTAGTACATTTGGTTCCTAATAGCTAGTCATTCAGAACTTCAGAACAATTTGTCGATTTCACGATTTAATTAAAGACATAATACCAAAAAAAACTTGAACAAATACATTTTGCCTTTATGGATGCCTGATACAATTCTGTGGATATCACTGTTGAGATCATATTATTTAAAATGGAGCTTTAAATCTTTGTATAGAGATTGCTATTACTCTTAGGGAATTTGGTAAGTGGCGTTTGGAGACTGGCATATATCGAAAATGAATATTAGCAATTTATGTTTCGGTCTAACCCCCATAAAAAGGCCTCGGCACATATAATTTAGTCACAATTTAATTTAGAATACCAGAATTTTTGTTGGCGATAAACATCTTTGAATATTTTAGTTCTGTTCACCTAACGAAGTGACTGCAATTTACCATTTCATGATATTCGATAAAAAGAATCATATTTGCAAAAAATGTTCGAAATAAAACCATGTTTTAACGAAGCCCCCATTTAATTTTTTAAGAGGTGACTGCAATTTTGTTCTCTGGTTCTTGGGGAGTGGAAGTGTTCGATATAGGATCATATTTTGGATTACCTCCACTAAAAAGTCACGCCTTAATTTCGGTATATTGAAATTCCTAGCCTAGTTTTACACCTGAGTGTCTGTAATTTGGAACATAACATTTTCATAGCTTGAACGACCTGCTAGCACACAATGTAATATCCCCCAAAAAAATTTCCAACCGATTTAAGGCATTTTAAATGCAGAGCACATGGTTGATGCTATAACAAGTTCGGCCTGGCCGAACATAAATACTGTTTGAACTTGTACCATATTACGTATATCTCTATTATACACATATATATGTATATATAAATCCAATTGTCTATTTCTTACGGTGCTTTTCTCTAACCACTTTAGGTAAGTGCAGACGAAAACAGGGTTGGGATAATTTTTTTGTAAATCTCTATAGATTAACAATGTTTTGGGGAGGGTTTAGGAAAAGGGTTTTATATAATATTCATATTATTACTCCATTAAATTATTCGCCGATATTTTTTTCAAATTAAATTTCATTATACAACAAAAACAAATTAATATCGGCCCCAATTAGTTAATACAAATTCTCAAAACCTAATTTTTATAAAAAATTAAATTAATTAGTACTTCCAATATTTGTTAGAATAGTGATTAACAATTAATTAAAAAAATTAGAACAGTCCTACTTTCTTTTCGTTTTCAGACTGCACGAGACAAAAAAACGAAACGTAGAAAAAAATTACCTTGGATTCATATTTGGCCATGATGATGTTGAAATACTAAGCAAAGGACGAGAAAAATTGAAGATATTTAAATTGATGGCATTTTCCCAGGTAAGGTTGTTATTGATATTGAATGGTGGTGTTGTTGTTTTCATTATTATTGTAAATTGTGGTTAACAAAATTGTTGTGTTAATGAGGAAAATGTGTTGTAAAAATTTGAAAATTGTGTTTCAAGTTTGTAAAGGGGAAAGGAAAATTAAAAAAAATAAATTAAGGAAAAAGAGTTTGTTTTTTGAGAGAGTGAAAAAAATGTGAAAATTTGAAAAGTTTGTTTAACACTGAACACCTAACACTTTTGCTTTCTTTACAAAAAATGTGCTGAAATATTTGAAAAAAACTGCACACAATTGTGCTTTGAATATTAGTAATGACCCCGCGGAACCCTTGAAAACTTACAAAAACCCCAAACTTCGAAAAAACTCTTGTGGAAGAACACCTCCACCAACTTACCTAAAATGTTTTTCTACACGGAATAAATATATCCAACATTCGGGTATGGGAAACCGAACCGATACATCTTCACAGGGGATTTGACCCAGTTTACGTGATGTAAAACCGGGCACCAGAATATCGGCTCGCAATTCCACCTTGTTGCCGGTAACAATCCATTGGGCCTTAAGTTGTAGAGGAAGTTCACGATTTTTAGGCGGTCTTACACGGAAGCGCAGCAATTCAATGTAATTTGCATCAGGGGGTTGGAATCTGTGGGAAGAGATTTTTTATAAATTAAAAAAATATTGAAGTCCAAACCAAATCGCAACATACCTTATAAGTCTAGATTTTTCATATTCTTCCTGATCGACGACACTATGGAACTCCACTGCCTCCAGTCGAATCCATTCCTCAGTGGCCACGGGTATGATGTCATGGCGACCCACCACTTCTTTGCCTTGACGCCACATATCATTGACACCCAACTCAATCATGGGCATGCCTTTAAAATAAGCGATATATAAATCTCTCGCCCTCTTCTAAATAAAACCAGTAAGGAAAGTAGTAAAGTCGGACGGGGCCGACTATATTATACCCTTCACCACTATGGGTTTATTAAACAGAACAATTAACATGAAATTGGATGAACTAAATTATGTGATATTTATCGAAATGTGAAAATCGGACGAAACTATATATGGGAGCTATATCTAAATCTGGACCGATTTTCACGGACCAAATTTCGTGCAAATCGAAAGATATTTAGGGACTTTGGTGGACCATTTACATAAAATCGGACGAAAATATATATGGGAGCTATATCTAAATCTGGACCGATTTTCACGAAACTTGGCAGACATCACTCTAAGCTCAATTCAGTACGTTGTGCCAAATTTCGTGCAAATCGAACGATATATAGGGACTTTGGTGCACCATTTACCTTAAATCGGACGAAAATATATATGGGAGTTATATCTAAATCTGAACCGATTTTTCACAATTTCAATAGGGTTCGTCCTTGGGCCAAATAAGTGACCTATGTCAAATTTCATCCAAATCGGATCATAAATGCGCCCTGTACTTTGTTCACAAAAATACATGGACGGACAGACAGACATGCGTAAATCAAAAATACATGGACGGACAGACGGACGGACAGACAGACGGACATACGTAAATCGACTCAGAAAGTAATTCTATGCATATTCTCAAAAGGAACTATGGGTCTATCTCGATTCCTTTTGCCTGTTACAAACATATGCACAAAGACATAATACCCTGTACCACAGTGTGGTGAAGGGTATTATAAAATTGTCCACCCTCCCCCTTACCTGTTAGGAAAGCCAAAAAGAACACACGAACTCGGGCAATTTGCTTGACAATTTTTCCATCAATGTCCTGTTCCACCACGATTTCATCGACCGCCGTCACCTGAACCTCCTCCATTTTATAAGTCAGGGCCCTTTCTCTTAGGGCTGGCAAACGAAATAAGGCCTCCTCAATGCATATGGAAAACTGCTTCATATCTTCATAGTTCATGGAACCGACCTTGAAGAGCTGTGATGATTGTGGTGCATGTTCAACGGGCAGACCCAATTTCTTGAGATCACTACCAAACTCCTTGACACCCTCGTAATCTCCCGCAATAGCATATTGTGCAAATTTCGTTAGCTTATTCGTAATCCTCTCCGCCTTGGTCACCTGACCCGGCCTTACACCAGGTCTCTCCTTATAGAATATATATTGCAATTTCATGGTGAAAATCTTACCAAACTGATCATACTGTTGGGCGCCAATTTCCGACACGGAATATGAGGGCTGTAACGGCAGCTCTTGGAATGGTTGCTTATCATTGGCGGTATTGAGCAGCTGAACAACGGGTACATCGTTTTGTATAACCAAACGCACAAAGATTTTCTTCCAAAATCGCTGACCCGTTATCTTTTTCTTATTTGGCTGACGCAATTGCATTTCCCAACCGGGTCCCACATAGTGTAGACGTGGGAAATCTTCTAGGGGTTGGGAAACGTCTTCATCGAAGAGTGGTGTCTGTGGTGTATCTTGGGAATCTGTGCGTTTGAGCGATGGATCTACTTCACCTGGAGCCGGGAAGCCGGAATCTTCGAAGGGATTAACAGCCGCTGAGGTGTCATCATATTGTCCTGCTGGGGCGGCACGTGTTGGCGGAGGTGGTGCCAATTGGGGAGCCACAGCACTGGCACCTTCGGTTTTGGGTCTTATAACCACATTGAAATCTTTTTCAACAGATTCCACCGAGTCGGAGCGTACTGGTGCTTTCATCGCATAGAATTCATCATCTTCAGCGCCGAAACCATCCGCAGAGTCACCAAAAGCATCGACACCAGATTTGGGTGTACCAAAAGCACTATCTCCCCATGCTGAAAATATTCAGATAAGATTTTGGTTTTTCTATTCTACTTTTTATGAGGATGATCGATAAAAAATTGAAAAAAAAATCTTGAAAAAAATGATACCGAATTTGGGATCTAAGGGGGGCTAGATCCCGGAATACAAAAGTGGACCACGATTAGTAATTTTTGATAGGAAGATTTGAAACCCAACAAGAAACCAATATCAAATTAGTACCAATTCAATTGAAAAACGTACTCACAATCCCCAAAATATGGATTTCGATTTTATGGGATTACCCCGAATATTGATAATTTTTTGGTAACCGCATGCAGCCACTTTTGTTGAACAGCGTGACCAAAGTTGCTGTAATGTAGCCGGTATACGACCTAACAATTCAGTGGAGATGAGTTCTTGTGTTTGGGGTGGCACTGGTCTGGGTGGAGGACCCTTGGACTTTGAGTCCTCCTCTTCGCCAAAAAAGCTCATTGCCGGGTCGAAGTCAGCCACTTGGGCGTCTGCTTCGACATAAAATATCCTAGGAATTATGGTAATGTGAATGACAAATGTCAAAGCTCTATATTAAATATTTCGAGATCTATCAAGATTTCAACAGACAGACATGCCTAAATTGTTACAGAATTTTATTCTGATGCAGAATATATGTAAATGCATTATGGGGTCTCAGGTGAGTAGTTCGAGGTGTTGCAAACGGAATTATAAATTTAATATGCTTCACTTCACAATTAAAAAGTTAAATTAATAAAAAAAATCGGAAAATACAAACAATCTTCATAAACATACTCACCATCAACGGTCGGTGTAACAGCTCCCGAACCTCCACTGACGCCACTACCACCACCGAAACCATCCAGAATACTAATGTTATCCTTTTTCACCGACTCAAATTTCGCAGCGAAGGCATCAAATTCATCGGGTTCAGCAAATATGTTCGTACCATATGCCGATTGAGCTGTGTCGACCTCTGGTTCTGGATCAGCAGAGAATATATTTATGGCAGCTGCGGGTACTGGCGCTGTATCAGCCATTGAAGTGAAAATATTCTCAGCAGCCGTAGTGGTCACGGTGTCCGCCATTGAGGTAAATATATTTGCAGCTGTGCTGTAGGCAATCGTTTCATCAGCCATTGAAGTGAAAATATTCTCAGCCGCTGTGGTATCTGCCATTGAGGTGAAAATATTCTCAGCCACCGCTGCTGTATCAGTCATTGAGGTGAATATATTCTCCGCTACACTAACGGTAGCTGTATCAGCCATTGAGGTGAAGATATTCTCAGCAGCCGATGTCGCAATCGTATCCGCCATAGTGGTGAAAATATTCTCAGCAACACCTGTATCATCGGCAGCAAATATATTTGTAACCATACCGGCTGACGGGAATGTTTCTTCTTCAGCATCGGGACTGGCAAAGGGATTGGCTGATGCTGTACCACTGGGTGGTGCAAAATCTAGTCCGGTATCCATATCTTCGATCATATTTTCATGACCGGTAATGTCACTGGCAGCAATGTCGGACATTGCACCCTCTACCGGAGAATCGCCACCAACATGGGATGCGGATTCCGTGGGAGGGCTTTGATCGGAATCACCACTCTTAGGTACTATGGATTTATCCTCATCTTCATCATCGGCAGGTGGAGTTGGTTCTGTTTCAATAACCAAAGCTGGTACTTCACGCAGTGGTTCTACTTTGGGTTGTGGCTCAGGCTCTGGTTCTGGTTCTTCGGTTGTTTGTTTTTCTTGAGCTGGAGGTTCCGGTTCTTCTTCATCATCGGATCGCGGTAAATCTTCAACAGTAGTTATTTCTATGTCGGGCGTGGGAGCCCTCTGTTTATTGCTTAGTTCTTGCGGAGCAATGCGATTATTTGCTCCATGTGGTGGATGAGCCGATTGAGGCTCTGATGTTATGTTGTGAGTACTTTCATCGGGCCGAGTCAGCACGGAATTGAAGATGGGATCATCTACGGTTTCATCACTTGGTTCTTGGGAGGCTGTTGGTTCTGGTTCAGCTGCCGTGGGATCTAAAACTAAATCATCACTCATAAGATCTGGTTTGGCTGCTGGCTGAGCTGCTGGTTTATCGAACAGACTCAAAATGTCTTCTTTAGTCTTGGGAGCTGGCGGTTTGGCAGGTGGCCCTGCATCAAACATAAAGAGATCATCTGGTTCCGATGTTGGTGCGGCATTATCATTTGTTTGAGCTAATACTGCTGGAGGTGTAGGTCGGGGTGGTGGACCTGGTTGGCCATGTTGACCCGGTACACTTGGTGGTGCTGGTCGTGGCGGAGCAGGTCTGGGTGGTGGAGGTCTGGGAGGTTGTTGTTTGGCAGGTGGGGCTTGTGGGGCTGCGCCTTGCAGGTTTCCAATGCCTGTGGGTATGCCAAAGGGATTGTCGACAAGGCCTGGATTTGTTCCCGCACCGATGAGATCAACATCAAAACCTTGTGTGTTGGCCGACGAACCACTGTCCGAACAATCAAGGAGGTCGGCTAAACCACTGTCTGGTGTGGGGCTAGGTGAGTGTAAGTCCCGCATTGAGACAGGACTGGGTGAACGTGTAGCCGGTATACGACCCAACAGTTCAGAGCTGGCCTCCTCCATTTGATGAGATACAGTGGTGATGAGTTCTTGTGTTTGGGGTGGCACTGGTCTGGGTGGAGGACCCTTGGGCTTTGAGTCCTCCTCATCGTCGGCTGTGGATTTAATGCTTAGAACATCATCTTCAGCTTCAATGGTGGTGCCAAAAAAGCTCATTGCCGGATCGATGTCGGCCACTTGGGCGTCTGCTTCGGCATCACCATCGTCGCCAAAGGCAAATGGATTGACGGCCGATTCGGAGCCAAAGGGGTTGTCATCGTTGGCGGTATCGGCACCGCCCGATTGTATGAGAAATGGATTGACGGTGGGGTCATCCATACCCCCCAAATCATCGTCCATTAAAAAGGGATTCGCCATGTTTGTTGGTTAAGTTTTACGCACGTGTATGTGTGTGTTGCTGACTATTTGTTTTTGTCTGTATGTGTTTCTTAATGCTCAATGAGCTCGTTTTCTAATAGTTTAATTTCAGTTTCTCCTGGTTGTAGATTTTCAGCAATTGAGGTATCGAAAGGATCAATATCCTCAGCTACCACGATATTTTTGTGCGGCAGTTGAGGTGTTAAAACCTTATCGCCCAAACCCAATTCTTGGGCGTCCGTTTGTGTATCGAGAACTCCTGTGGTTATTTCCGCCTCTCTCTGGGGTAGTAATTCACTTTCCAATAGTTTAAGTTCGGTTTGACCGGGTCTAATATCAGCTGCAATGGATGTATCGAATGGATCCACAAATTCCGCAGCCGAATCGTCTGGTAAATCTTTACTTTCCTGGGCCGGAGTCAAGACCTTTATGGCAATATCTTCCTTGACAGCCAACAAATCTTCAGCAGGTACTGGTGTGGGTGGTGCACGTGGATCAAAATCTGGATCGGAAATGCTATGCTTTAGTGTGGGATTCGATAACAAATCGTGTTCCAAATGTTTCAATTCAACCTCAGTTGGTTTGGCTTCGGGTACGTATGAGGTATCGAAAGGATCCTCTAACTGGCTGTCACTGAATCCTGCCTCACTGGGTGCGTAGTAAGGTGTTAGCGGTTTCTTGTTATTGCTAGCACCCTCTGCGGCACCCAATAGATCGGGATTTGGTACCAAGAAACCAACTGCTTTGTTCTTGAGGGTAAGACTCAGCGAAGACTTACGACGCACTGGATCGAATTCCTCTTCTGTCGAAGGCTGTACAACTGGTGGTGGCCTTGGGGGTGGTGCCTTGTTGGCTGCGGCTACAGGTGCTGGGGCTGGCTCTTCGTCCGCCCTGGGATCAAAATCGGGATCACTTAACGATTGCTTTAATGTGGTCTTAGAAGCTTGAATTATCACTCCCACAACAGAGGTATCAAATGGATCAACCTCTGCCTTTTCAGAGAGTATTTTAGTTATCACCGATGGCGGTGAGGGCCTCTCGGGTGGTGCAGCCTTTTCTTCGGCCCTTGGATCAAATTCGTCGTCTTCTTCAAGTACAGTGGTTTTCTTGATTACAACTTCGGCGTAATTGGTATTGAAGGGATCGTCGTCTTGGTTATCCTCCTCCTCGTCGTCACTAATGAAGACCACACCGGGTGGTAGATTTGGTGGTGGTGGTCGCTTGGGTTTACCTAAAAGAAAAGGGGGAGCCGATTATTGATTTGAAAGAATAAATTATGGGATAGTTAGTTACCACTCTCTTCCTCTTCGGGTAATTTTTCAAATTCAGCCCAATCGGCTGCAGCTAATTCGGTAAGGACCTCTGCCTGTGGCAGGGGTATTTCTTTGATAACCTTAACTTCTTCTTTTTTATTCAATGACTCGGCGGCTAATTCAGCAAACTCATCATCCTCTGGATCCTTGAGTGTGTCGAACTCCGATAAATCGGGTAGGGCTGGTTCTGGTTCTTCTTCTTCCTCCTCAGATGGTGGCTTCTTGGGTTGTATAAAATTCAAATGCAGCGAAACACTTAGATCAATGGGAGCATCTGGCACATCATTGACCAATTCATCTAATAGATTTATTTGTGGTTCTGGTGCAATGAGATCCTCTTCATCCGCATCGGCTAGATCAACTGAATCGCTGAGTAAAAGATTTTTGATGCCCTTGCGTAGTTTGCGCTTTGGTTTGGCTAGTTCAAGGGCTTTTTCACGTTCTACACGTCCCGAAAGGACCTCAACGGCAGCCCCAAGGCTTACCAATTTCTTGTTACCCTTGGCCTTATCAGCACCAACTATGACTTTCTCGGCGTAGGCAGTATCAAAGGGATCGGGACCGTCGTCAAAATCTAAAACTGGTGAATCGGGAACAACGGCTAGTTGGATTTCACCACTGGTTATGGCATCAACGTATTCGGTAACGAAAATATCATCAACTTCGGCGTCGTCTTCGTCCTCCGACTCGGATAGCTCTACTACAGCCTCAGCTAACTTATCACGCTGGGCTTCTAGTTCGGCTGCCTTACGTTTCTCCTCCTCTAAACGTTCAGCCTCACGTCGGGCTGCCTCCTCTTCTTCGAGTCGTTTCTTTTCAGCCGCCGAAGGCAGACGCTGATAGAAGGATTCCTTTTTGATGTGATCTAGCTCGTCTTGGGTCTTATGGAGTACAGTATCAACTTTCGAGGTGAGCGCTTTAAACTTCGCCCATTCGTCGTCCTCCGCTGTGCTGGTAGTTGTTGTTGCAGCCGCCTGAGAACCGTTTGATGACTCTTCGTTGTGACTGGCAGATTGAGCGTTCGCGTGCGCTAACTCAGAGGTCGAAGCAGTATTGGATGTTGTAGCTGTTGTTGCTAAACCTTCAACATCTGATGCTGCATCGGATTCACCGGCATCGGATTTAGCAGCAGCAGCCTCCTGCTTGGCCTTTAGTTGGCGTTTATACTCTGCTAGTTCTTCTTCGGTGAAAAGTTCTTGATCCTTTTTGGACTTCTTCTTTTTCTTTTTTAGACCTTTGGGTAACTTAAGCATTCTCTAATTGGGGAGACATCGAAAAACGGTCTAAACGGAGGATTAGAAGAATATAAATACATTTTAAAATTATTATTCAATGAATGAATATTTAAAATTTATGTGGGAGGAGTGGTGATGAAATTGATTTTTTTATCTACAGGGAACAAAATTATGTCAGGATTATGAAGGCTTCAAATAAAATACACACACATAGCCTTGGAGGACATTCTATGTACATGTAATGCGTAAGGAAGTTTTCAGGGTCTTTTTTGGATTTTCTGCTATTTTTAGACAACTCACCCATGCCAACATCTTCATCATCAGTGCCAATAAATACAAACCATAAATACGCTTATAAGGGGCATGCAAACCACTTTCCTCCCTTTCCCACACACACAGACAATTTCGTCTTCGTCTTTCGGAACTTCTAAGACAAGGGATTTTCATAGAAGATAATAGATTCACTGTAGAATTCACCACACATGATGGTGGAGGTTGGTTCGATGGTTGGCTGAATGGTCGTTGGTTTCCGCATTACTTCAAACATGTGTTTGACAGGCAACACGAACTACCACCACCACCACACCGTTACAAACTACTGTTATCTGCTGTTATTGTTCGTCGTTCGGCTCAGTTATTATGTGTGTCACAGAGAGCAAAAACAACGAGAACAACAAAAAATATAATCATAATAATACCGCTACTTCGAAAAGTAGAAACACAATAAAAAGCAATAAAGAATTACGAACGAATGAGCGTGAATGGAAGACTAGCAAATTACGAAAAAAGCACACTCACGCACTTCTTCTTCCTCTCTTTCTTTCCTCTTTTTGCTCTACAATGACGGCGACGAAGACTACAACAACGACGGCGATGAACGATACAGCAGATACAGGAAAATCTATATTCCTTTACTGAAACACACACACAGACACATATGAAAAAAAATCTTTTTTTTTTGGTTAAAGGGAAAAATCGATTTAATTCTAAAAGCAAAGAATTTTCAATTCAATTATTAACACTCAATACAGCATGAATTGAAATTACTAAGCAAATGCAAATTTTTCCCCATTGAATTACTTCCCAAAAAAGGGAAAATTTCTTTTCAAGGCAAAAAGAAAAAAAAATACAAATTCCTTGAAAAGTCCTTCTTTTTTTCTTCTTGGCAAAATTCCATTAAATTTTTTTATCTTCTCCTCAAAAATCAAATCCAAAACTTACGTCTCTCTTTTTTAGTTAATAATTAATTGAATTGAAATTTTCGTAATTAATTTATAATCATTAAATGATTGTTTTGTAATTTATTTTGCTCAGTTATATTTTAATTTTTTCACTTTTTTCTAATAATTTGCCACAGTTTTATTTCGCTTTTTGGTTACGTATCACCACGTATGAGTTATCGGAAAATTCTACACTGAATGATGAAAATTTCTTGCTCCCATAAAAGTTTTCATATTAGCAAAAGGGGTTCTGCAAAGCTTTTCAGTTACTTCGAAAAAGCTTTTGGGAGGCCTACACTCTCCGTATGGGGGGTGGTTATTCCATTTGACATTTACAAATTGTTGTTTTTTGTGGTGTTTTATTTTGTTCTGACATTTGTCCTTAAGGGTGGAAGTACCAAAAAACACCAAGAGCTAGTAAAACGACCTCAGGTGACATTTGACATTTATGTTTAAGGCGTTAGCAGTGCGCAGGCTTGAGTTCTAAGTTTGGAATTTCTGTGGAAAGCAATGAAGTGTGCTAAATGTCATCAATGAAGTTCAAGGAAGAATAGTTGTAAATGAATTGGATCCAATGCGCATGTCGGGATATTTTTTATAAATGACCGTTAAATTTGAAATAATAAAAATATACAATTTAAAAATAGAATAATTTAGACATGTGTGCAGAGTATAAAACTACAAAGGATATGGCTGATAATAAATAAGATAGTTAATTTAAATTTACAAAATTATTAATTATAAATTAAGTAGTAATTATTATTTACTAATTATTAATCATAATTTTTATTAATATTTATTTTTTAATTATTAATAATAATTTTTTAATTTTTATTATATTAACTTTCTATTATTATTTATTAGGTATTAATTATTAATTTGAATTAAGAATTAATGATTAATTATTAATCGTTAATTACATTATTTAAATTAATTAATTATATATAATAAATAGTAAAATAAATTAATATATATTAATTAATAATATAAATAATTATTAATATTTATTAATTTAAAAATTGTAATTATTAATAATTATTTATTAATTTATAATTTTTAATTATTCATAATCACTTATTAATAAGTAATTATTCATTTTTAATAATCACTTATTAATAATTATTAATTTTTAATTATTAATAATTAATTAATTACGGAAGTACAGGGAATCTTTATAGGTGAGTTGAAGGTTAGGCAGTCCTTATAGACGAACTGAAGGTCAGAGAGTCTTTGTAGACGAAGTGAAGGCATGGGAGTCTTTATAGCGAAGCTGAATTAAATAGTATTTTTAGACGTGATGAAGGTCAGGGAATCTTTATACACCAGGGGATCTTTAACGACGAGCTTGAGGTCAGGGAGTCTCTATGTGCGAGATGAAGACTACAGAGTTTTTATCAGGGATGGTCCGTATGACGAATTTTTAGGTTTTCGACTGTCAAAAAGGTGTAAACGTCGAAATCGTCATATACCTGTATAAAATGTAATAAATGTAGAAAACGTCATTTATTCGAATATTATTACCATATACCGTTATTTTCAAAAATACATATTATTTTTACATATATCAGTCTGTTCCTTACTGGAACTAATACAAGATTCTAAACTTTTTGGAAAAAAAAAATTTTGAAATTTTATATGGATTTCAGTAAAGCATACGTAATTTCCAAATTCATTAATGGAAATAGGTATTTTGTCAAAAACTTAATGTTTTTGGGTGGGTTTCCGACGTTTCTGACGTGTGTAATATACGTCGAAAATTTATGTCATTTACGTCACTGTTTCTGACGGACCATCTCTGGTTTTTATAAACTATAAGACCAGGCGAGCTGAATACCAAGGTATCTTTATAGAAGAGCCAGAACACCTTCATAGATGACCTGAAGGACAGTGAGCCTGTATAGATGATCAGATGGTTTTCATAGAATAGCTGAAAGTGTCCTATAGGCGAGCTGAAGGCTATAAAGCCTTCATAAGCGAACTGAAAGACAGGGATTCTTTATATACAATCTCAACACCAGAGAGCCTTTATAGACGAGCTGAAGACCTATATTTTTACATAGAATGTAACGCTTGGAAGTCTTTATAGACGAGCTGAAGACCACAGGTTCTTTATAGATGAGGAAAGGGCTAGGGATTCTTTATGGACAAGCAGAAGTATAGGTAGTCTTTATAGGTGAGTTGAAGGCTAGACAGTCTGTATAGAATAACATGGAGTCTTCATAGACGAATTGAAGGGAGTCAGAAGATCAGAGAGTATTTATAGGTGAGATCATTAGCCAGATCATTAGTTATATATTTATATACGAATCGAATGTTTTTAGACAAGTTGAGTGACCCTTTATAGACGAGCTAAAGCTCAGGGAGTCTTTATTGACTCCGTCAGATAGTCTTTATAGACCAGCTGAAGCTGGGTTAATCTGTATAGATATTCTAAAGACCAGAGTTTCTTTACATACGTGCTGAAGGCCAAGTAGTTTTTATACGCGAGTTGAAGGCTAGGGAGGCCAGGGAGTCTTTACAGGCGAGCTTACGGCCAGGTGGTCTTTATAGGCGAGCTGAAGCTCAAAAAGTCTTTATAGACAGGCTGGCCAGGAAGTTTTTATACGCGAGTTGAAACCAATGTAGTCTTTATAGATGAAGGCCAGGTAGCCTTTGCTCAGAAAGTCTTTATAGAACCTTTGGTAATTACAGAGGAGCTGAAGGCCTGTTAGTTAGTCTCTATATGTGTGCTGAGGCTAGGCAGTCTTTGTAGCGAAGACAGCGGACCCTTTAAAGATAAGCTGAATTATATAGTATTTTAGACGAGCTGAAGGCTATTGAGCCTTAATATACGTCCAGAAGCTCATGGTGAGTTTATAAACAAATTTGTAACAATGCCTTTGAAATATGGGAGGCTTTATAGCTGATTGAAGTCCATGCAGGCCAACTGAACCGAAGCAATCGGTGGTAATATACGGCTTAAACAGTGGGGTATCAAAATTTTTTTTTCGTAGTGGGTCTTCAGTGGTTCTCAGACAATATTTCAATATATGTAGCCTATATGAAGAGAGCCTTTTTTGAAGAGCTGAAAGTGGGCTTTATATATGAATTGCAGCAAGTATTATCTGTCACCTCAGTCCGTTGTGTAAAAGCCCTATTGCTTTTACACAACGGGCTGAGGTGATTTTTGATTAACTAAGAGTATGATTTATATACAAGTAGCAGCAAGTTTTATTTATTCTGATTCTCTTATTTAAAGAAAGTTTTTGTAGGCTATATGAAGGGAACATTTTTGATTAACTAAGAGTATGATTTATATACAAGTAGCAGCAAGTTTTATTTATTCTGCTTCTCCCTAACTTTGCAACACTTGCCACCACACACACATTTTACCCTCATTGGAAATCCAGACTGCCTACCTTACTTACCCTACAACATTTCAAATATTCAAATTAGAGTCATTACAACTCCAATCAAATAATTATTGCTGGTGGTAATAAAATTACATTGTTTTTTTGATTTGCTTATTTTTTTATTTCATAAAAAATAACAATTTTATATCACATAATTCACGTGTGACGATATAGAAAAAAACACGATTGCATGTGTTTTTAGTATAGGATTAATAAAATTACAAAAATATATTTATATAGTTTACAGGAAATTGTTCTAGTGTTAGTTAGAAAAGTTTATGCTTAAAACTAATAACTAAAATTATGACTATATTTTGTTTTTGTTATTTTTGTTTTAACTTAAAATTTAATACGTGACTTAAAGCGACAACTTCCTTTTAGCCACCACTTTTCAATGTCGCTATAACTTTGTGTCTTCAAATAGTATTGAGGTTGATGCAACCTCTGGCATAGTTCACAGAACGGCGCATAGAAACGTAGCTCATAGTGTTGACGCCACCAAAAGTAACGCATATATTCGATAGAATTTGCCGCTAAATACTGCAAATAATCAGCCAATTCGGCAGCGGTTGAGAAGTCTTCTACATTTATATAGGAATGTGGAGGTAAAAATTGATTATAATTAGCACCACCGTATACCACGGGTATTATATTGCGGTTCATTATTTTATAGAGTTTTTCTGTTATATAATCAGTGCATAGTGAGTTTTCAAAAGAAAAATAAAATTTATATTCTTCATCGAGCAGGCGATCACATTCAGGGGAACCATTTTTGCAGCTGGAAAGAAGAAGAAAATATTATATTGAATTTATATACAAAATGTGTAATGGTATTTTATAAATTACATTGATTGAGTTTCTATAGCCGATTTGAAGGGGGTTTCTATAGACGAGTCTTTATAGACGATCTAAAGACCAGGTTGTCAGAAAGTCTTAATAGACGACCTGAAACTATGGGAGACTTTACAGACAAGCTGAAGGCCACATAGTGTGTATAGGCAATATGAAGGCAAGGCAGTCTTTATAGACGAGTTGAAGGCCAGGGAGTCTTAATAGCCGATTTGAAGGCCACACCATTTTTATAGGCGAGATGAAGGCCTGGAAGTTTTCATAAACGAGCTGAAGGCCACAGAGGGTCAGGCAGTCTTCACGGACGAAGGGCTTGGGCTGAACGCCACAGACTATTTATAGGCGAGATGAAGTTGAAGGCCAATCAGTCTTTATAGACTAGTTGAGGGCCAGGGAGTCTTGATAATTTTTTTTTTTAATATTTTCTCAAGGACTATGAGAGTCGGAAGCGTGGATTTTTGTAAGGATATTTTCTCAAAGACTATGTGAGTCAGAAGCGTGGATTTTTTTAAAGAATATTTTTTCAAGGACTATTTGGCCCATAAGCGTGGATTTTTTGAAGAATATTTTTTTCAAGGACTATGTGGCCCATAAGCGTGGATTTTTTAAAGAATTTCAGAAGCGTGGATTTTTTAAAGAATATTTTTTTCCAAAAACTATGCGGTCCATAAGCTTGGATTTTTATTTTTTCAAAGATGATGTGGTCCATAAGAGTGGATTTTTAAAGAATATTTTTCCAATTAATATGTGGGACTATGTGAGCCAGAAGCATGGATTTTTTCAAGAATATTTTCTCAAGGTCTATGAGAGTCAGAAGCGTGGATTTGTTAAAGAATATTTTTTTTTTCAATTAATATGTGGTCAATAAGCTCGGATTTTTAAAAAATATTTTTCCAATTAATGAGTAGGCCATAAGTGCGGATTTTTTAAGAATATTTTCCCAATTAATATGTGGGCCATATGCGTGAATTTTTTAAAGAATATTTTTCTAATTAATATGTGGGCCATATGCGTGGATTTTTAAAGAAATTTTTTGAAATAAAATGTGTGCCATATTCATTAAAGAATATTCAATAAAGAATATGTTTTCCAAAGTTTTATTAAAAGAACTCTAATTCGTAATTTTGGGTTCTCAGAGCATAGTAAATCTCCTGGCAGAAAAATGTGAATATAGGTCCATGGCTTAACATTTGCACACATTTACAATCCACCTCCATCCTAGGCACTCCGAAAGATCTATAGGGGTCTGAAGAGATCTTTTTCAGACCCCTAGTTTCGACGAACTAAATCCATTTCAGATAGTTTTGAGATAAGGTAAGATGCCCATTAATCTGTCCAGAGACGTTCGAAGTTCTTCCTTAAATATCCACATGTCCTGATAGATACCTACATATCCACATGTCCTGATAGATACGTTTATATGAAGGCTAGGTCACTGCAAACTACCCTCTGAGAAAATGCGGATGGACATTCAACATACCGAAAGTGGTGCGGGCATTTATACGACAAATTTTCCTATGCATAGACAAATATAAGAAAATTATTTACTTAGTAATTTTTTACCCACCAAGAACCGAAAATTTTAAATTTTCGGTTGGAAAATTCAACTAGGACCTTGAAAAAAACCTAAAAATGGGTCTTGGCCTTTACCTGTATCCAAACATGAACCAGTATTAAAAATATTGTAGGAAGGAATTTTAACCCACTTGGGGTTGGCCAATTATATGAGGACTCTGTCAAAGCATAGCTCTATATAAAGAATTTTTGAAAAAAATAATGTCCAACTTCCAAGAACCCAGAATACATATTACTACCACTTCGAAAAAGCAAAAAAAGCCTAAACATGAACCTAATTTAAAAAAATTCTTCGATTAAATTTTGTAGCCACCAATAACCCGAATTTCATAAACAAAACTTAAAAAATTATTTACGAACAAATTATTCACCCACAAAGAACCCGAAATTCCAAATTACAGGTACTTCTGTTGGAAAATTCCTCTAGGACCATGAAAAGGCCTAAAATGGGTTATGACCTTTACCTATGTTCAACCATGAGACTGCATTGAAAATGTTGTAGGAATTAATTTTTACCCACGTGTGGTGGCAGACCTATCGAAAAATCAAAAATGCCAAAACATAAACCAATTTTGAAAAATTTTCTTAGAATACATTTTTTAGACACAAAAACCCCGAAATGTAAATTTTCAAAAATGGGGCGGTGTCACCTATAAGGGCCTATACCAACATATCTCGTTTTCAATAAAATTGTCATTCTAACAATCGGGTATCAATGGCAACAATCGATATGCTTAATTGCTCTTTCTAAATTATTTCGATTTCCGTCTTATAGGGGAGGATGTAAAAATGATTTCTTTAAGTTTACCTCATGGCGCAGGGTCAATTTTATCCGCGCAAATTTTGTAAGGTTCATTTCTTTTAATTTGTATATAAATTAAAAAAATCTTCCTTAGATATTCCCATCACAATTATTACCCACCCAACTCACCTCATCGGTCCACATTTTCCATAGATATCAACATCAATGTATTTCTGCAATTCTGCCGTTAACTCCTCACGCCGCGATAACGTCTCACAGTGAGACACAAACCAGGCAGCCATTTTTGTTTTATTTGGCCACAGCTCCCATATTGCCGTATCATTATAGATATTCGGAACAGGACGCCATTTTGGATACTCCGTGGGTAGAATGCGCATACCCGACTCTTTATCAACAAACCAATTATAGGCCCATATAATATCCGAATCCGTGCGATAAGTCATAGTTAAATTATAAAAATCCTTCTCGTCGGAGAGAATATGTTTCGTTTCACCCGGCGGTTCCATTAAAGCGAAGATATACAGCTGACGCGAGCTGCGTTTTGAAGGCACCGAATTTATCACAGGAAATGGTTGCGCCGTATGAAACAATATGGCATCGTACATTTCTATTTGAGGAAAAAGATCTCGTTTATTCGTGAGAATACAATTTGAGACAGGACATTGTAGCTTGTTGTGAAAATAGGCCGGATCAATTAAATCATCGGGCAAAGACCAACGTTCATCACCAAAGAAACTGTTCCACAGGAGGATTATGCGTGGTCGATCACTATCGCCACTGTTGTTACTCAGCGACGTCTCTTCAAAACTTTTCACCAAACGATATTGATTAAATTCCGGTACCGTATGATCGATATACAGCCATGTTAGAAATCCCGTAACACACAGACAGGTCAAGAGTATTAGCAAGGCTTTCGTTCTACACTTTCTTTTCAGCTGCATCTGTTCGTAGCGTTCAATTTGTATGGCATTCGCGCGAATATTATCGTTCTCGATTATGGCGGCACTGGTGTTTTTCCGTAACAGCGGTTCTCCTTGAGACGTGGCAAACATGTCCATTGAATACCTTCGACTGAATGATAAATGCCAGGCTAGGCATTAAGCAGTTTTTTTTTTTATTTTTTGTTAATTACGTGCCACCCTTGCTTTGGCACCCTTTATCGTCACCCAGGGTTGAGTGTATTAATGACCAACAGAATATCGAAACTAACTAGCGCGAACTAACCAACCAGCCAGCCCAGCCAATGAAATAGATTACACATTGTTGGTAATTTCTATTGTCGAAATTATCAGCAGCATGTTAAGTATTAGTTGTTGGTGTTGTTTTTGCTGTTGTCGTTCTTGTTGGAGAGTTCTTGTCTATTGGAAAATTCGTCACCCATTAAGTCGATTGCAGGTAATGTTTTATCAATCGGCATTTGGTAAACACATTCATCCACATATGTGTGTGTGCGTGCGTATGTTTGCTTACGACCATTGCTAGTTTTTGACGTCGTCGAATTAACTAATCATTTGTGCTGCAATTTGGGTTTAACCGATTCCAGTGTGTGTGTGGCTGTGTGATGTATGTCCCTGCCATAAATCCTTATCACCGTTGTCATCTGTTGATTGTGTGGTTGTTGTGGTGGTGATGATGGTGATGACAAAATTGCATGCCATAGTCATAGTTGGCGGAAGGCAACTGTTATCACTGGTCACGATCAATCCATTTGTATGCCGCGAGAAAAATATGTTCTGTAAATAGAGTAACACCGATTATTATCAAAAGTAACACATTTAATGGTTTATATTAAGCTACAGTTTTGATAAATAAATAACACACCTGTGGAGGGTTAGTCTATAGAGAATATATAAAAAAGGGGTATACTAATTGTTGCTTGTGTGTCCCACCCAAAAAAATAGAGATTAGATTGATATTGGTGTTAATTTTTTCAATTTTTATCATTTGGGCGAACTAATTAATTAGGCATATTGGTATGAATAATATTTGTTTTCTTTCTCCATAAACTGGAATATACTACGGAACAAATTAAAATAATTTATCGACTTAGTCATCCTCATTTTTTATAAAAAGCTTAGATTTTTAGGAATAATTTACAAGAGCAATAAACGAGGAATTGTTTTAAAAAAACCTATGTCCAATAAGCGAGAAATTTAAGAATAATTGTCCAAGAACAATTACAATGAATTCTTAGGGACATTTTTCAAAGGAACAACAACTTTAAAAGCATGGGCTTTAAAAAAAAATTTTCAAATCGATTTTTTCAGGTCGAAATGAGAAGGGTTTTTGGGAAGAGTCAGCAGTGCAATAAAGTTGCATTTTTATATTCCCAGCAAACACTTTGTTATGGATAAAATGTGTCGTATCGAAATATTGGTTTCTTTGGAACAAATCCGTTGCAGTTTGGAGAAATATCCCTCCTCTGTATCGAATGTAGTAACCGATTTTATCCAAATATTGCACATCGTAATATTTTACAAAACAGTATAAAGTAGAAATATTTTAATTGATTTCAAATATGTTTTAATTGCCAACAGATTAATAAGAGATTTTTAAACATTTTTAAGAACTATTGATTTCTAAGGACTAACATGGCTAAATCGACTATAAATAGAACTTTCAAATATATTATTATTATACTGGGCGTAAGAAACTGAAAATCGTATATAGCGTTTCACATTTTTAATATCGCACATATAATGAATATCATATTTTCTGTAGTTTTGTAATTTTGGGCAAGTTTTTCATTTTAAAATTTGATTCTTAATAGATAGAAAATCTCTCTATTGTACTATGAACCAGGAAAATGATTTTTTCAAAAAGTTTGTTTCAGGAAGAGCTTAAAAAAGCTATATATAACGACGGTCATTTAATCAGATGGAACTGCTGGTTATAATGAAAGTGAAAGTTATTTGTAATTTTCTGATATTCAATTTAGTATATAAATAAATTTTAAACCAGTGAGCGGAGCAGTATAGTCGGACGGGGCCGACCATGCGATACCCTACACAACTACCACGAACACTACCTTTCTGAGGATGTTTATTCCGAGTCTGAGTAATATTTCGTGATATTTGCCCCCTCTTGTCCGATTAGAGGTTAACAACACCTCTTCTTTACTTTTTCGAATATTCAGTACAGTCCTTCTAATTACTTGTCCAGATTACCTTCACGGTGGGTTGTGTTGTGATTTTCGGATTATAAATTGAAAACACACAAAAAATTATGTTTTCGGTCCATTTCATCCCAAAATTTTAATCTGATCATCACGGAAAATTGTAGGCGTTGTTCTTGACCATAACTGGAACTTCATGAAAAATTTCAAAGCCATCAGCGCGATATTTCTCCCACTAATGTGGTAATGGGTTATTAAATAATATCAGAATGCGTAAGCAACTGTAAATATTTGACTGTAACTCCCACATCTGAGTAGATACATCACTATATTTGGTATCAATTTAAAGGCCAACCACTCCTCTTGGATATGCTATCAACTCCTGGGGTCTACATCCTCCAGGAGTAAATATATATGCCATAGAATACAAATTTTGTCATTTTTCACACAAAAGTCAGGGTCCATTTGATATATATTTTGACCGATCTTTATCAAAACATGCGTGCTTATTCTCTGGCCCGATCCCCTTCTCCATGCAAAAATTCGCGGTGTTTTGGCCATAATTGCGGCCTCTGGAGCGACCAGAAAAACCGACAAAAATTTAGTATTTGGTCCATTTCATCCCCTAAATATTAACCAACTTTTTCCAAAAACAATAGGGGTCTTCATTTGCAGAAATCCTACATGCAAAATTTCGTGAAGATTGGTCCATAACTGTGGCCTGTATCGTGTTTACAAATTATAATGGACAGACGGACGGACGGACGGACGGACGGACACACATGTCTATATCGACTCAGCTACAAAATTTGACGATCGGTATACTTAAAGGTGGGTCTAGGACCAATATTTCGCGGCGTTACAAACATTTGGGGCTGCACAAAGCTATAATACCCTGACAACATAGTTGTGTAGGGTATAATAATTTTTTTATATATATGAACAAATTTCTGAACCTAGTGTCAAGCAGTCCCAGAGGATATCTTAATGGTTCTAGCACCAATCGACGTTTTGAAATGTTATCTGTTCATAGAATTAAGAGTTATTGCCGATAGTATAGAAAAAACCTTTAAAAATTACATATAAAAACCAGTAAGGAAAGTAGTAAAGTCGGACGGGGCCGACTATATGATACCCTTCACCACTTTGTGTATATTCAACAGATGAATCCTAACTGACGTCGTATTTTCAAAGGACCAGTAAAATGAAATTGGATCCATAAACATTTCATTCTGCAACCGATACTAAATTTTTCATTTGGTCAGATATAGAAGCTAAATCTAAATCTGAACCGATTTTCAGGAAACTTAACACACATCATTCTATACCTAATTCATTACGCTTTGCCAAATTTTGTGCAAATCGAAAGATATTAAGGGACTTTGGTACAACATTTTCCTTAAATCGGACGAAAATATATGTGGGAGCTATATCTAAATCTGAACCGATATTCAGGAAACTTAACACACATCATTCCAGACCTAATTCATTACCCTGTTCCAAATTTCGTGCAAATCGAAAGATATATAGGGACTTTGGTGCACCATTTACGTTAAATCGGTCGAAAATATATATGGGAGCTATATCTAAATCTTAACCGATTTTCAGGAAACTTAACACACATCATTGTAGACATAAATTATTAAGCTGTGCCAAATTTCGTGCAAACTGAAAGATATTAAGAGAATTTGGTACACCATTTACCTTAAATCGGACGAAAATATATATGGGAGCTATATATAAATCTGAACCGATTTTCAGGAAACTTAACACACATCATTATATACCTAATTCATTACGCTTTGCCAAATTTCGTGCAAATCGAAATATATACGGGGACTTTCACCACACTGTGGTACAGGATATTATGTATTTGTGCATATGTTTGTAACAGGCAAAAGTAATCAAGATAGACCCATGGTTCCTTTTGAGAATATGCATAGAATCGCTTTCTGAGTCGATTTACGCATGTCCGTCCGCCCTTCCTCCGTCCATATATTTTTGTTAACAAAGTACAGGTCGCATTTATGATTCGAGTTGAAATCGGCGCAGATTTAGATATAGCTCCCACATATATATTTTCGTCCGACTTTTTGTGAATGATGCACCAAATTCCCAATATTTGTCCGATTGAGACAACATTTTGAACAGAGTACTGAATTAGGTTCAGACTGATGTTTGTGAAGTTTTGTTAAAATCGGTTCAGATTAGGATATAGCTCACATATGTAGTTTCGTCCGATTTTTTGTGAATGATACACCACACTCACAATATTTGCCCGATTGGGACAAAATTTTGCACGGAATACTGAATTAGGTCCAGACTGATGTCTGCGAAGTTTTGTTAATATCGGTTCAGATTAAGATATAGCTCACATATATAGTTTCGTCCGATTTTTTGTGAATGATACACCAAACTCACAATATTTGCCCGATTGAGCAACATTTTGCATAGCGAAATTCCGAATTCCGTTGTTCCAGTGATGAGTTATCATGCCCGCCATCAAAAATAAGGACTTTTCTTTAATCACAGAAAACAACAACCACTAAATTTAGTAAATTATTTTTCTTATCTTTTAAATCTTGAAATATATGTGTAAAGTTACAAACCTTAAAATGCATTCACTTTACAGGTATTCATTTACCAGCCCAACGAAAATCTTGAAAATTTTAAATCGAGAATGGGGGAGGTCCCCTTAAATCGATTTATATAATTTTGGCCTAATGAAATGGAATTTTTGGTAGGTTGCCGAAGACATGTGTACGGATTGATTTAAGTCGGTTCACATATAAATGCAGACTCATATTTCCTTACTCGTTTAAAACAAAAATTTGTTTGGGTCAATTTTTAAACTGGTGCTAATTTCATGTCAACGGATTGTGTCTTTTGAAAAGGCGACGTCTTTTAGGATACATAGGTAGAATTTACCCAAAGTGGTATAGTCGACCCAGTCCGACTT